ATATATATATATATTAGCTTTTTAGGGACCAAAATTTTATTTTTTATTAGACAACTAAATACTTTCTCAGAACTTGATGAGCTCATTACTTCTAATTATTTATTATATTAAAATGTTATCTTTTTGTGATTAGCGAAATACAAAAAAAAGGTTTATTTATACATCAAACAAAAAAAGAGCAACTACAACAGATTTTTACAATGTTTGATAAAATGCTTAAATATTTTAAACATGATACAAGGTGCTTAGCCAAATCTTTCAACAAAAAATAAACATCTTTTAAGTGATTTTTAAGCACTCAAAAATATTTATAAGCACTAAATACATTAACAAAATGCAAAATAATTTTCAAAGACTTTACATGAGCATTATAAATTAACTAGTTTCTGACAATGAACTCTTTTCTTGATTGCATTAGCCATTATAAAATGATCGAGATATTTTTGGTTTAATATCAGAGGGTGGAAAATAAAGCCTGAAATTGAGAACATCTTTCAAAATGCAGCAAAGTTACACATGCAAGTGCAACAATTTCAATGAACCCATCCCAGTAGATGCACCCGTGGAATCCAAAGCATTTTATCAAACAAGTAAAATTATTGTCGCTTTTAAACGCTACAGACCGAATGTAAGCCAAAATGGATTGTGGTCTAATGAATTGTTAAAACGTAGAATAGAACAATGTGAAAAGCATACGTGGCGAAAATCAACAAGGTAAAGAAAAAATTCTCATTTTCTAAGAGGCAAAATTAAGCAGTTTTTAAGAACACCCAATAAAAAAAGCACCTTTAAGGGCTTTTAAAAAACGAAAATAAAAAATAAGTACCTTTCAGCACTTTTTAAAAACACTACACACCATGTGATAGTTAACACAATTAAAGGGTAAACTAAATAAAAATAAAGTTAATCAAAGGAAAAATAGTTTTACTTAGCACTGAAAAAAAAACATGTTAATTCCTTAGTAAATAATAAGTTGTCAAATCCAACAAAAGACAAAAGAATATAAATATTATTATATTCTGGAAACATAATATTACATAACTTCAACTTATAAAACTTATAAATTGTATATACCTGATTGACAATTTCAAAAAAGATTCCAACAGTATTTCCAGGACTGATACCGCAGAACTTCCACTGTGAGGTACCACCAATTCCAACTTCCGTATCGGAAACACTGTTACTTTTACTATGCAAAGAAACACAAGAGCCTATAGCACCAGAGACCTTAAGCTCCCGAGATGTCTAAAAGAAGAAAAGTCATATTTATGTTTCATTTTTCAAAAGTATTTTCCTTTTAAATCATCTTATACCAGTAATTCAATTCTGCCTGCAATAAGCTCCACACATTAGTGCTAAAATGTAAAATATTCTTTTGAAATAGTTTAATAATTTAAACTTGAATTTAATATTTTAAAAATCTAAACTTAAAAAAATAACATTTATCGGGTAGAATTTTTGACATGACATGTCAATTAAATAACTGTTTAAATCATGTACAATACTTGCATTATCTAATATATTATATGCAATAATAATTCATATTACATGTCATGCATAAAAAATATAGCCAAAATGATTAAATCTATTGACTCCTTTTTCATAAAGCATGCTTCTGTTTCTACTTTATTATTTTTATTTGATACTTTAAAAGTATTCAGCTTCTATTACAGAAAATAACTGGTTTTTTAATTATTAATCTATATATTGATTTTAAAAGTGGCCAACAACAATTGTTTGAACTCAATTTGTGAAATTCTTTTTGCTTCTCAACACTTCTTTTAAAAGCTTATATTCCTAAACACAACCTACAAATCATAAGTAAACTAATTATAATTAACAAAAAATATAAATATCTGTAAACAATCAATTTTTTTCAATCAATCAATTTAAGTCTTTAGGTTATTACCAATATTCAAATTAAAAGTATGTTATAATACTTTTGGAACACCTGCATTCTACTCCGTGCAGCTGAAAATGAATCAAAAGAATATTTTCGAATTTTGGTCTTAAGTCAAAATTAAAAAATAAACTTTGGAATCCAGAAGGCCTTGAAACTAGTTTTATAGTCTCATACTCTGGAAAAGGAAGAAGTTAGGCAGAGAGTAAAATAAAAATTGATTTTACACACAAAGAACAAATAATTGTTAAATATTTATTTACGAGATAATTGTTTTCTAATTTTTTATTCAAATATTAATGAAATTAACAAATTGTATGAATTGCAATTTTACACATATTTATTAATTCTTTGATATTTATAACAGATTATGATTTTCAATGCCAAAATTTTGGGTCTTTAATTGATTCACGACTTATAATTTTATCTGTAGTTTTATTTATGATTACTTAATACTAATAATAGTTAATAATTTTCTCTGAAAGTATTTCAGGTTTTTGACATGGTAAAAAACATCAATAGTCAAAAACTTGTCGACCCTTACATTTAGATTAAATAAAAATTAATTTCTCTAATAAATATGTTTTGCATACTTCACACTGGAAAAACACAGTGTTATTTCGAATCTGCAGACTATTTTAATATTTTTCATTGGAGTAGTAGACATTAAAATAAGAGACTCATAACTAGAGAATCTTACTCAAAATAAAAATTCAAGTCTCTAAATTATATTTGGCACAATTAAAAAAACCTTTAAATTCATTTATATTAAAACATTAATATTTTAAATATGTATAAGTTATTTGTTAGCATCAGACAAAAAAAAAGGTCCTAGAACTTACTTTTACTTCTAAGGAAGCGCCAAATCCCATTTTGAATTCACCTTTTGGATCTTTTGTAAAAACCCGTTGAAATGTTTGCTTGAATAGGGAAGAGTTGAAAGAATCACCCATAACAATATGACCTCTGAAAGATCAAACGTAACACAGTAAATAAAATATGCATTAATCAAACAAACTAGAGGAGTATTAAAATAAATTGGATGATAATTCTTCTGATTATAGCTCAGAAATTTTAACCAGTATAAAAACTGAAATAGAATAAGAATCAATTGAATTGAAAGCATTCAGCATAAATGTGTATATGTAAAATTCTAAAGCAAAAAGAATTGTTGGAAGTGGATGATTTGAAATCTCACATTGCATAATATTCTAAACCATTCTGTAAATTTAATTGGATCTGAACAAAATTTTTGAAAGAGTTATGTAATTTTTTTTTAAGTAAGTTGGTTAAAGCTAGGATGAATGTAGTAAAAATATAAAAAAGCTTAAAATAGAAGCACAAAAATTATATGTGGAAGATACATATTATTTTAACTGAGAAAATAACTGAAATTTAAACACAAAATGTATATCCATAGAATAAATAGTAATATCAACATTTAATTGAAAATATTGTCGGCACAATTCTTCTAATTATCATTCTAATGTAATTTTAAATCATGTTAGCATACTAAAAATAGCACAAAAAACAAATCCATTTTAAAAATTCAAAAAAGTGGAATTTTCTCTATTAAACTAAAAAAGCTGAATTTCCCCAGAAAAACTCATTCCTGGTAAAAGATAAAAATAGTATAAAGAATATACACAACCCTACAGTAACGGAAGAGACATTTTCAGTTTTTTACATTTTTTTCAATTACATTTAGCGAAAATTTTTATGAAAATATGGGCATTTTTATACAAAATTAATTTTTTGTGGTCTTAAATTTTTTTATAACATTAAGAAACATTCAATAATATTAAACAAATATTTTGGAACAATTTAAAATTGGAACAAAATCATTGTCTTAAAATATGAAAAAAATTTGTTATAAACTGTACAAGACAAGAGTATTTAAAGTAGTTTTTTTATACTGCTCATGCATGAAAAAAATTTAAAACTTTTTTTCACAATTTTGTAGTGAATTGTATTTGGTAACTAATGAAAAGGTCTGATTTAAATATCTTAAAAATTTAAAAAGTTTCAAGCAGTTTTTTTTTTAGAAAGAAAGTTCAAGGGGTCTTAAACAAAATTCATTTTGTATTACGAAACAAGATTTAATAGAAAAAGACATGGTCAGTTACTTATTAAAGTAAGTTATATTTCAAATATTTTCTTTCTTTCCTCAGACAATGGCATCATGTTGTCCTGTTATTATAGGGCAGTGTAGATAAATCATAATAAAAAGAAAGTAGATTAATATTATTTTTAACCTGAGATTCAAAATTAACATCCAAACTAATGTCAGAAACCAAGAATATCGAATTTTGAAATCAACAGTGATGATTAATAAATAATTATACACAACATATTAAGAGGAAACACACAATCACTCTGCTCTTGTCTAAGTTATATTAGGCTAACTATACTAGTTTTAATTGCTGGAAAAACAAAGAAATAAAGAACAGCTTAACCTACTTAAAACAAATAATGCTGTAGTAAATGAAATTGCTAAGTATAGCAGAAATATCTTTAAATATAACCATAGAATGTGCATTGAGTGGTCACCACTTTTTAAAAGACGAAAATAAAAAAAATTCCCCATATTTACCCAGTTTGTAAGGAAAAACTAAAAATTCCATGCATTTTCCCTGTTGTTTCGGTTGATTTTTAAATTTCCTGTATTTTCCAGATTTTTCCCATTCACCCTGAGGAGTGAATAGGGAAAAAATTGGTAGGTATTTAACCAAAATATCTTTCAAATTTCTTTCATTTATCTTATGAGCAAAAAAAAAAAGGATAATAAAATTTTAAGTTCAATGCTAATTCAAACAATATTGGTATTTAAAATATAGCAATATCTTTAACATTTCATCAAATGGAACAAGCAATAACAGATTCAGTATCTCAAAGAAATATGTCTGTTTAATACGTTAATAAAGTATGTATCAACAGTAGAATATAACAATGAAAAAAGTTGATTTATTAACCACACAAGAACACATAATGCTGAATCAAAATTAAAAAAAAGAATTAAATTTTTAAGGAGAAATGCTTTTTGTGAAAAGTTCACAACCCATTTTAGATGCTTGCTTGACCCGAAGGTTAGGAATATTTGTTATGGGTACATAATATTTTTTGAAAAACTCCTTGTTGAATTCTATTTAAAAAAAAGTGTACATAATTAACAGAAGTTCACATACCCAGTAAAGTTAGGGCAATATTTCATCTCATGAAGACCTGTTTGATCAAGAGCACATGAATAGATGTCAATAATGTGACCATTGGCAGCAGCACGAGCAGCTAAATTCTCATACACCTACAGAAATTAACAAAATGATCAATGCCTGGAAAAACAGTGAATAATGCAATGGTTTAAAGTTAACAATTGTGTTTGTTAGAAAATAATCATAAAACAATTTTTCATATTTGATTTCTTATCTGTGATTACACAAAAAAAAAAATTTTTTTTCTTCATAGAATTTAAATAATTACAGATTATATAATAAGATTATAATAAATTTGGAATTAAAAGCCACTTAATTGAATTCGGAGAGGGCGACAATGTGAAATAGTAGAAACCAAAGTATGACCTTTACCACACTAAATAAATCATTCTAAGTTGATTTCAATATGCAATAATTTAATAAAAAATTACAATAATAATTTTTTAATGTGTAATAAACACATTAATGAGCAGTAACACATTACATATATAATTGTTTAAGAATTAATTTGGAATTTTTATTTTTAAACATCAAGGAACAGTTAAGCAAGAAGAATGAAATTTACAGAATTAATTCAAAATGTCTATGTATAGTAAAATCTTCATAAAACAAATTCTGAATTGCTTGTAATGAGAACAAATTTTCTGCACTTACAAATTAATAATAACTAATATTCGAGTGCAATCTTAGCAAACAATTAAGAACATAGAATTAAGGTACAAGAAAAAATGAACTATTCTAAAAAATGAAGAGATTAATGAGACTATTTAACAACAAATATGATGCATACCTTAATAGCTTTCTTCATATGTTTAGCATTATCTTTGTCAATATCGTGATGAGAGCGTATAGTAGATTTTAATTCATCACCAACCACAGCACCTGGACCTTGAGTACATGGGCCACCAACAAATAGCATTATTCGAGCCCCAGTAGTTGGATAAGTGCACTAATATTAAATAAACAAAACATAACATTTATTTATTCAGGCAATAAGCAAATTTTTATAACAAGATTTTCAATAAATAGCATCAAAGTAACTAAAGTATAAAAATGCAATGATCTTATTCAAAAAACTTATAAAAGGAAATTAAAAAAAGACTAAAAGAAAATCCATTAAATCCTTCAAATTACTTTACTCTTTACTGCATTTAATTTCAGTTTTATATTTTATTTATTTTAAATATTACAATTACAGATTATAACCATTTCATACTCGACAGCATTATTCGAGCCCCAGTAATTGGATATAAATGCGCTAAATTAAATAAACAAAATTCAGGCAATAAGCAAATTTTTATGACAAATTTTTCAACAGCATCAAAGTAAGTGAAAACTCAAAGCACTATATGATTTTGCTCAAAAAATTTATTAATAATTACTTTCAGTAAATCTTCTGTGAATTACTCCTTTAATCTTATTCTTTACAACATTTAATTTCAGTTTTATTTACTTTAAATATCAGAATTATAGGATAGACCCATTTCACATTAAAGAAATTTTAATTAGGTGATAAGGAAAAATTCTTCTGTGAATTACTCCTTTAATTTCAACATTTAATTTCAGTTTTATATTTTATTTATTTTAAATATCAGAATTACAGGACAGAACCATTTCACATTTAAGAAATTTTAATTAGGTGATAAGGAAAAATTTGACACATAAATAAAAACATGAATAAAACATGATGCCATTCCTTAAATATTGTGACAAAGCATTTCAATATTTATGCAATAACTAAGATAATTTTTAAAAAATATATATATATTGATAAAAATATGAGAAATTGGTTATATGCCATTTAATTTTTGATTGGAGACAAGACAAGGAGAATTAAATATATAACAGAAAATTATATGTTAAACTTAAAAATGCTCTTCTTACACAATGAATTTTTGGAAATTGTCATCAAATTTAAAAATTAGCATGTTGTAAGGATGCTAAAGGGCGATGAACTTCTTAACTGCAGTACCCCAGTGACAGAAAAATTTTGAATTTGAAAGATGTAATTCATTAGACAAAAATGGAAAGCTTTGATTACAGCGAATGAGAAATGTTCATTACAATCATTGGTTGAATAAATAAAAAATAAACACATAATAGGAATGGGCAAGGTCTTATTCAAATTAAACATAAAGGGGATTAAATAATGGATTAAAAATAGAATATCAAGTGAAAGAAAATTGAATAAAAATGTCAGGATACTGTTTCAAAAGAGTGAGCATAGAACAAAAATGGACATAATATAGTAATCAAGAACCTTTCTTAATGTCAATACACAAAATGACAGGAGAAAGCAGGTGACAAACACATTGTAATAAAGTTTTAAAAAAAAAGAAAGTTTAACCAACAGGGAAAGAAAAACAAGCTCAAACAAGATGAGAAGGGAGATAAGGACCAGCTATAAAGGATGGGGTGTGTAAGGTAGTCAAGTTGAATTAGAATAGATTTCCAAACATTGGAAAAGAATGGGATGCTAGTAAGATTATTAACTAAATTATTAGATTTTAAAAAAAAATAGTATACCAATAAAATTTGTTGCTTTGAAATTTCATTTTTTAAAGTTTAATAGTTTCAATTTCAACCTCTTCTTTTGAAGCATTATATAATGCCACAAAACTATGAGATCACCTGTGTGTATATTGTTATATTTTATACATATTATGCATATATTGTGTGATAAATGTGAGAGAAGAAAACACAAAAAATATCTGGTTAATATTCTTTTTCGTCTAATTTGAAGAGAAAAACCCTGCTAAAATTCAATACATTCCAAAAAACATCACGTAGGTTTTTTTAAAAAAAATTTCACCCAACATAAATATGAAGTCCTAAATATTTTTTTCGCAATGGTAAAGTTTGAATATTGAATAAGAAATACCTCTAGAAGTCCAACAGCAATCGAAAGAGCTACACCAGTTGACCTGAGAGGTCGTTTGCCCTGAGATACAGGCCACGGATCTCTCTGCAATTCTTCAAGTAAATCTGTCAAACTCATATCACATTTATGAACAGGTTGTAAGAATCTATGTAAAAAAATGCATGATGTAAGAATCTATGTAAGGTAGAGTTTAAAAGTTATTATATATGTGGAAGAAATTTAAGGTAGCTTTATGTGTAACACTATAAAATAATAAAGTGTGACTAACAATTTAAAGATAAAGTACATGACAGGTGCATTTCATGTTTCGTTTTTTTCAGTAAATGTACATGTAGAAGTGCTGGTTGGTAGTTAATATGATTAAATGATGAATTGCGAACATCTGAGCTACAAACATGAATATTTGCTAGTATGTTGTTCTCAAAACTCTTAAATTAGTTATATCGCTGAATTTATTTATTTTCAATTCTAAATGCCATATTGTTTATTGTTGCAAAAAACGTATAGATGATCTTTTTAGTAAAAAAGAAGTAATAAATAAACTTGGAAAAAAAGCAAAATCTTAAATCTGAAGGTGAGAGAAAATAAATAATTTAAAAGTTAATTGGCTTCAATTCTAATTGTATACAAAAACTGATCCATATACATTGCCAATAAATTTAAAACAAATTGAGCAGTTAGTCACATCATAAGATCTTTTTAGACATCTTTTTGTTAACATCTCTGTTCTATAAATTTTCTTTCTCTATTTAGAGAAATGCAGGGATAGAACAGGAACATTTAGAGCTGATTGGAGCAAAGCATTTCTTATACTCGGAACAACAAAATAATAAATTGAAGTAATTTTTAGATTGCAGGGGTAATTGTGAGCCCAACTTAAAAATCCTGTAAATTTCTTGAGTAAAATCATTAATGACACATTTCAAAAAACTAACGTCTTTATAAATTTAAATCATTGATATTTTTAAAACATAAAATTCTAAATAAATTGTATGCAGCATAATTTAAAAGAATATTTATGTACAAATTTGCTTTTATCTCTAAATCAAATTTATTATTTTTACCAGAAAAAATATTCATGCCAAGTATAAATTCCAGTTCTAATATTTTTAAATAAAATACACACAAATTTTTATACATAAATGTGATCAATGATTTCTTGAAACTTCAAAACCTTGGATTTCCAATCGCGGTTAGCGAAAAATCCGAATTTTTTCCAGAGCACATCATCTCCGAGATTGTAAAACATTCATAATATTTCCAAATTTATTAAAATAATTATAGTACAAGGGTCATATTTTCATATTTATTTTTATTTCCTTTATTGCTACACTTATCCTTTTTGAGAAGTCTCTGCTGCTTTTAAGCACGTTTTTTTACATAGAAGTTTTAATAATTTTGACTTAAAAATTTTTTTGTTTTCTTTTAGTATAGTACAAGGGGTCATTTTAAAGAAAAAGTAGCAACCAGATGGCTATTGGCTTATAATTTTTAAATAACCACTAGTTACATTTAGTCGCCCTGTGGCAACCACTAATTTTGCCCTATGAAACTTTGTAGTTAGGATATAAACAGAATATTTTTCTTAATGCAAATTCAAGCAGAAAACATTTTAATAATATTTAAATTTAGCTGCACTGAAACTTTATAACTTGCGTATTTACTATATACATAATTCTTTTTCAAGCTAGAAGACCAAATTTTTACTTATCTTAAAAAAGGATCTCAAATCTGTTGCTTTAAAAATGTATCCATGAGATAAAAACGTGACTAAATAAAAATGAGTGAAATTAAAGCTCTTAACAATCCATTTTCTATTTCAGAATTTCTTTCAATCAAAATATATATATGTATTTTATATGAGCTATATTTTATTGCAAAAGGGTAATTTTAGAACAGCTCAAGTTAATTAAGCTGCTCATTAAACATTAGTCATCTTATATCGTGAATCACCCAATTTTCTCAAGTGAGTTGGCAGCTATAATACAATAACACTATTCAAAAATGAATTAAGAGTTCAAAAAAAATATTCTTTTTTAGAAAATCTTTCATAAAATATCAGGATTTTCTATGCACAGTGTGTCTACTTTCAACATGCTTGGGCATCAAATACAAATACAGGTATGAACAAAATGGTATGAACAAATACAAAATCACAGCTATTACAGGTATGAACAAAACCTATGAACCTATCAAAAAGCACCAATATATCTTGGCTTTAATTTGTCAAACACAAAAATATTTGAAAGCCTTTATAAAAATCTTTAAATGTGCTATCTATTATGGTAGGTTCATATTTTATTTACGTCGCACTAGAGCTGCACAATGGGCTATTGGCGGTGGTCTGGGAAGCATCCCTGAGGATAATGAGAAGACATGCCATCGCAATTTTGATCCTCTGCGGAGGGGATGGCTCCCCTGCTTTGGTAGCCCGACAACCTACACACAAAGTCAAGCACTTTATGGTAGAACAGTTTAACGAGGACCAATACGCACACCCTCTGACCCTTTGCAGATTTATCCGAGTGGTCACCATCCGCTTACTGACCACAGCCAGTGATGCTTGAGTTCGGTGTTCTACTGGGAACCGTGTCTTTACAATCGGACTACTGTGGGATGCAATCTATTATGAAATTAAAGACTAGCATATAACAGTATCAGGATAAAACATATTACATAGAATTAAAGAGTATCACTGTAAGTAACAGCAGGTGATAAAAACTATGTACAAAAGAACAATTTTTTCTAAACAAAAGACGTAAAAAACTACCGATTTGCAGGAGGGACCGCAGCAGCAGCTGGTCCTGGCCTTTGCTGCTGAGGCATTGTAGGATGTTGAGCTTGAGGATGTTTCCCAATGCCTAACATATCCTAGAAGAACAAAATGAGTTTAAAAAAGAAAAAAAGGTTTTGGATATTTCATATTGAAGTGGATTTTTTATTTACCTGTATTTGCTTGCCAACTAAATCCTTAGTACCACGAAAGACGTAACTTTTTGAAATGCCTTCGCATCCTAATTCATGAACTTGTACCATTCTCCCAAATGTTATCAGACCAATAAGGGCATTTGGTGGCAATAGAGATAAGGACATTTGCAAAGATTCCTAAAAATATGTATTTATTTTTTATGTCACTTTTAATGTGGCCTAGGTACAATATCTTAATTTTTGCACATTTATATGAGCACTTACCAAACTACAATGAAAGAGTTACATAACAAATAATCATAGATTGGTGCTTAAATCTTAAAAAAAGCTTAGGATCTATATTAGAATAAAATGTTTTGAAGTAATTATGTTTTGTTCCTTAAAAGGTTAAACTTACATAAGTACTTACATATTTTAGAAAAATTGTAAGTATCAATTTTTTGGATAAAATTGTCATTACTTAAAATTAATTTAAACTATAATGAAGATTTTGGTATTTTAGTTCAACAACAAATATTACGTTTTTGGTAACTACTATATTAAACCGGGAAAAAATAGAAGTTGTTGCAGCAAATGATCTCAGCCACTGCTATTCCAAAACTTTTGATATAGATATTGGATTAATAATTATTAAAACTCAAATTTTAAATTACTGTAATTTTTTCTAAAAAAAATTATACCATACAATTATCTAAAAATTATATGAAATAAAGTGCCCTTAAATAAAAACAAATGTATACTCTTAAAAAATTGCAACTAGAATAAATTATGCATAAATAGGAAATGAAAAATTACTCACTTTTAATTCTACTAGCTCTTCTTCATCAATGCAAGTATCTACCACATAGAGAAAGATTGGAGGCAAGCAAGGCTGTCTCTGCAATGAAGTAAACAAAAAATGAATTGAACTAAAGGGCGACAATAATAAACGTTTTTTCAAATTAGTTCAACTGCAGACAGATGTTTAAAAATGTACATACATACAATATAAATACATAATCCCTAAATCTTTCAAAGAAGTACAGTTAGGCCAGTTTTATAAAAATTTAAACTACAAGAAAATGTACTCATTATTTAAAACAACGAAACATATTATAAATAATGTTCCTGCAAATTCACAATATATTTATTGAATTTTAATAAAAACTTTGGTGCAATGTTATATCAATTTTCTCTCAGTGTTTGAGAATTATGTAGTAAACATATTTATATGTTTACTACATAATTATCGATTTATAAATCTAAAGGTTACTAATTAAATATTCATTTCAACTTCCTGTCGATCTAAACATCTTACAACAATAAATAATGAGTTATTTTCTCTAAATTGAAATATGAACTTTTCCTGAAAGTTGACTTGCAGCTGAAAGTGAAGATAAATAATCTATCTTGAAACTAAAGTTTAAGAATTTCACTCCTATTCGTTTTAGAGAACAACTTGCATATTTTTCTTTCACTTTTTTCCCCTTCCCACGAGGAGGAGGGGGAATTTTACGTCCCTCGATCCTTGTAAGAGACTATGCGGGATGGGAATTCATCAATGGCTTTTCTGGTTGAAGGAGAGATCATTTGTTGCTTTCAATTATTATTGATTGAAATAAATTGCTGCAAAAGATAATAAGGGGAAAAGTAATAATTAAATTTCGGAGAATAAATTCACCGAAATAGATTTTTCAAGCTTGAGTAGTAAAAAATGAAAGAAAAAAACAACAGATAGACCACCCCATTAGCCCAGAAGCAGAATTTTTTCAAATGTTCTGCAACAAGACTTATTAATTTAGACAAATGTTCTGCAAGCATTTCGCAGCGAAAAAAGTCAACTTTACGTTAAAATACTATATTTTCATTTATTAAAATATACGATCATACACAGATACACTGCATTATTTTTTAAACCAAGGCAAACATTCTTGATTTGTTACTTTTTCAATAACTTTTGAAGTAAAAAATTTTGTTAATGATGATGATGAATTATTAATAAAATGCCTATGATATGAAGGTCCGAACATTAAAATAAGGGCTGCCTTAAAAATCTTTCCAAGGGACAAGTGCCCAGATGGTGCACCATTTGCAAAACACAAACATTCGCTGGTCTGTTGTTCCAACAACTTCTTCCTTTCCATCGAAAGCATTTGGTCTTTTCGAAACAATTCTGTCAATCGTGGATCCCCACGATTCACAAATTGCTTCTGAAATGGGAATAGAATATATAAAAAGTCATAAACTTTATGAAATTTGAAATCCCTGAATTTAATTCTTTTACGGCTTGCTCTCTTGCTACGGTAGCTCTCTTGATAAAAATGGTTACAGAAGTATTCAAGATACAAATTGTTCTGCAGGACTTCGTTTGTTCTGCGACGTACGTCACAGTTTTAGGCACTTTCTGCTTCTGGGCCCATTAGATACACCGCACATACTAAAATTTCCAAGAAAGCATCCTAAACAAACTTATTAATAATTGTACTAATAAGTAAATACTGAATCAAAGACCACAATGAAAATATCTCAAGAATTGCTATATTTGGAATATATAACAGTCAAAACTAGGTGAATGATCCATTAACCAAATAAGTTTAACTAGCTTGAGAAATATTAGAACATAATGAACAAGTCTTTCTTGCATGCAACAAACCGTTCTGCAAGCCGTTACAAGTATTTCTAGCCTGTAACACACATAATTACAATAGTAATGCATACTTACAGTTATTGTGTATTCTATTGTCGAAAACTGGGGAATCAATTCAGCTGGTTGGTGATGTTCTGAAATTGATGCATACTGAGGAGGAAACTATTTTTAAGAAAAAAAAATTTATTTTTAAAAAACAACCAGCTACAATATATAAATAACTGAAGAGGTTATAGTTAAATTTTAATACGCACTTGATTTCTCTGGAAACAGAAATTACACACCCACAGTTTTGCTCTGTAATCAACTTGGCTAAAAAAAAATTTAATAATAGTTCAATTATTTTCATAAATGAAGATGAAATTTATATTTAAAAAAATTATCAATAATTATTAAGCATTTAATTACTTAAAAATATTTTTATCAATATTTTCTTATTTCATAAATCATAAACTAACATTCGGAAATTGGATATCAGTCGAGACATGGACNCGATGCAAAACTGACGATATATCACGATATATAATTTCTAATATCGCCCAGTCCTAGTCGAGACATTTAAGAAACAATATCTGAAATGAAAAGAATATTAAATTTTTTTATTTTAAAAGGTCAAATCTATGTATTACCTCTGTTGAATATTAGATATTACACCAATGGAATCCATATAATCCTTTCAAAACAAGCTTATGTGTTGCCCCAGTATTGATTTCAAAGACAGAATGAACAAAATTTAGATATTGCTATACATTAACAACTGTGCCGAAGCACAGGGTCTACTAGGAAACATTATAACATCTCTATACAAATAAACCAGATGGCATACCGCCACTTCACAAACATAAACAATAATACGAACATTAGTAAAAGGTGAAAAAACAAATGACAACTTAACAACCGAGTTATTTATACATAATACGGTAGTGTCAAGAACTAATTTGTTGCATCCGGGGCATTGTGCATATCATAAACATAAAGGAACAATCACAAGTTTAGTTGTACATATACCTCTCTCCTTAAAATAAACATTTCAAGAGTTAAACAAAAAGTGACAAGTTTGTACTTAAGATTTCACTTTCTGGTGAGTGAGGAAAAGTGTATTTATTAAACAGAAAAATCTGACTGATTGGTTAAACTATTTCCAATAATTATAATACTGCAAATTCTGAATCTCAGCTTGAAATCATTTCTCCATCTACTCGATTAGCAACCATTTCCCATTCTGTGTGGCTTTGAAGATCATTTTTCAGTAGGTATTAAAACATATTTTTGCTTGGTTTCTAAAATGTGAATGTTTCAATACATTATTTTGTTCTGTAAATTTCACCCAGTGGCTGAGTAGTAGCGTTTCACGCTCCTGTGTCACAGGTCATGGGTTCGATCCTCCAGCCTTTCATCCCTTCAATGGGGCGATAAATGAGCACCAAGCAAGCTTGGGGAATAAACACTGGGGGCATCGCGTTCGGCTGACCACCTAACCGAAACATCAGAGCCCAAGGTCAAGGAAACTGAGGTGGGCACAGTAGGCCTTGGCCCTCTTTGGGCTGTCGCACCACTGAGTTTAGTTTAAATTTCGAATCACTCATTTCGCACTCAATTATTGATGATTCATCTGCAATTCCAAGTAGATGTAGAATCGCATTTATATCAGTCATTTTTACGGATTTCCATAATTTTTTAATGATACATTATCATATACGAGAAATTTTGAATCGCATATTTGTAGAATTATTTCTTTAAACTCTTGATGTGACAATTAGTCACAACTATATCATCTCAAATTTTCAGTTTTTAAAAATGTGAAGATTTTACTTTTACGGACTCTGAAATAGAGTGTGTGATTCATATAATATTCCTTTTCATGCGAGACGTAAGAAAAAGTATGCATTTTTTTTTGTGCTTTAGGGAAATATCGAATTTTGTTCACAAGATATTTTCTTTTTTTTTTCTTTTCAGATTATAGTGGAAATGGATTAAAAGTGAACAAAATTAAAAGTCAGGTGAAAATCATATAGTGGAAATTAAAGGAAAAATGGTGGCTTCTCATCCCTGCATACTATTTTTTAACAGGCCACAAATGTAACAAAACAAATTTTTGAAAAGGAAAAAGACCCTTCCGATAAACAAACATTTGGATATCCGAATATTTGTTTATTGGAGAATTAGTACTGTATATATGTACACATACAAAAGGGACTTGTAATAAACTAAAATGGTTACCATAAAGGATTTAATACAGCTCTACATGTTTGTCTGCTACATACAACTGGTTCATATTGAATAAATGGGAGATCTGGTCTCTCCTTCAATGGCGTAAACAAACAGGAAAGAGGTACAACCAGACGAGTGGCTTCAAGTCTGCTAGATGGCCACACATTCCAAGTAAAACGAGTACCATCTCTATCTTCATTTTGTTGAATAAAATCTTGATATGTTTGATAAGTTGCCATCTAAAACATGTACATAATATAATCTCAGAAACACCTAAAAACAATATAACAATAAAATCTACATCAAATTACAATTAAGTTAAAATTAAATGTTTAGAGCCAAAACCGTGAGCCTTCTGAAATACTGTCAAGGAATAATTAGCAAACCAGGATGGGCGATTACATTAACTTTTGTATAAATTTTTTTCTTTCAATCTGATTATGTTTTTAAAAAAAATTATTATAAATGAGTAGCATATGATAAAAATAATTATTTAAGCTTAAAGATATACATCTAAACAAGATAAAATAGTGTGGCACAACCTTTTTCTGAAAAGAACAAAAGATTAGGCTTTCAGGAAATAAGTTACCATATCAATTGATACCCTTAATTATTCTTTAAGAACATAATCAATTCGGGTTAAAAATTAAGAAACTATGACAACAGATTATAATTGATGCTTGCAACGTATATAAATAATATTTATAAATTGAAAAATATTTAAAGTAATTCACACCTAAGAGTTAATTTCTGCCTTAAAAAAATTTTAATATCAAAGCAAATTACGCGTTCTGATAACTTACTCTAAATAACATTAACCTGCTTTTCCTTTTTAAATAATTAGTTTTCCAAATTTCAAGTTGCGTAAACAGCAAATTTCATATTGTGTAAATGTTTAGTGCTGATAATATCTACTGAGTAAATGTTATATATTCTTTTATTCATTATCTTAAAACAAACATTTTGAAATTAGAAAACCATTCTATTGATAATTGTCTTTCTCAAGAAGAAATAAAATTGTAGCTTTTAGTAACAGTTGCATTGAGATTAGAAGTTGTAAACAAATTAGCAAAACGTTCAAGTTCACAAGATAAACATATACATTTAGAAACAAAAAAATAAGAAATTATTCTCATGCAATGCTTCTGAATGAGTTCAATAAGAATAATAAGAAGAAAAAGATTCACATAATTGAAATATAATTCACAAACCTTTAATATACAAGTCACCGACTGTGACAGATGATTCCGAAAGCCACGTCTGATTAAAGAGACGAATAAAACAAGTAAATATTTTAAAAGCGACGAGTTACCAAAATGAAAAATTAAGCTTTTAGCTCGCATGTGCTTTAGTTTGTTCAGTGGAAATAAGAGACGTGGACAAAAGCGTCATTTGGCCATCGAAATGGGCTATAGATGGTAAAAAGCAAAACTCTCTACCTATAGCAGCACTTCACATGCTTTCACCATTAGCTTGTGGAGAGTCATAGGAGAAGGAAGTACGTCTATGTTTCTCTTGATTTTCAAATGGATTAAAAAGTTAGGAAACTAAGCTCACCGGACAAAAAATTAGTCACCTAGTGCGCAAGCACCGATGAATCATTAGGTATCGTTAGATGACGCAGTGGTCAAGTGACGTGCTCAATTGTATACACACTGCGGCAACCTGATCAAAGACAAGTAGCTGTCAATGAGATATCTTTGTTTGAAGCGGAAATTATGTGTAAATATTGGTAAGAGTAAGGATGTTATAGAGTGGCAAAAAGGGGCAATTGTGTTTGGCCGTACCAATGGTCATATGGAGAATGAAGTTGCTGGATTTGTTGGCGCTTCAAAGCTGACTGTTCAACATGTCTACAAGCAGTGGTGTAATATACCTGGTCACGAAAGACGCTGCCAAAATTGAGGTCGGAAAAAGATCCTGCATGAAAGTGATCGGAGATCGTCGACGACGTGTTTCACGACTTTTCAATCAAAATCGCTTCTAAACTAGACAGGAATTGCTTCAGTTACTAAATGAAGATCCATCCCAGCCTGTTAGTGAGAAAACATTGCGAAAAGAGCAGCGTGCAATGAACATATGGAGTTGAACATCTCGTAAGAGGTCATTGCTCACACGCTGCCTTTTAGTCACCCTCTTCATGCTGAGTGTGTTGTCGATACCACTATTTTTCAAGATGACAACAGCAAAGTTCATGGGGCTGGAAGTATATGTGATTGGTTTTATGATCACTCAGACACTCAATTACATCTCGGCTGGCCAGCAAAATCACCTGACTTGTAAAGCGCCAACGGGTTCGGGTAAAACGCCAAAATCAGCAATCTCACAATTTGGTGAATTTGAGCCATCAAACCTCAACGAGGGGCTTAAACTGGATTCGACGTACTTGCAAACCCTTGTGAGCTCATTTCCTAACCAAATCCAGGCGGTTATCAAATCCAGAGGAGGTGTTATACGTTATTAAATGATCTTTTTCATGATTTCTCTAAGGGTGACAAATTTTTTGTCCGGTGTGCTTATATAAAACTGAAAACTACAATTATCATCGTTCTAAAAGAAAGCGCCGTTCTAGAAGTTCTTCACGAAAGCAAATTTCTCCCAGTACTAGGTCCAGAAGTTCCCTTGTTTTCTGGGTCGACTGTTCAATGACGGTTATAAAATATAACATAAAGTATTAAAAAAAAGGAGCATTTTGTGTCAGATAGAAACAAAATTGATAAAGCAGGTAGGGTGGTTTTTACTAGGAACTCTGTGACCTTCAACCTCTTTGCTCCCCCATTGTGAATGTGAGTAGACCTTGGAGGATGGTCAGAGGGAGCTAAAACGATGTGAAAAGTTTAAACGATGAAATAAAATTTGATCAGAAATTAATCATTCATTTATAATTTTTTTCCTAAAAAGCTAAGTTTCGAAGTAAAATTAATGTAAATTTATTTTTCCTTTTTTAATTTCAGATTCAAAGCAAAATTAATATCACTTTCTTCTTCTTTTTTTAATTTATTCCAACAGAAAGTACTCACGTTAGCGCGTCTTTTGAGAGGGCAACCGGGATAGGTCCCGGTGGGTGGGTCAGTCTATCCCTGGTCATGGCAATTTTTTGATACAAATAAATGCTTTGGAATATATTATCAGAATATCCAGTCGTTTTCCTGATAACTCTAAAGCCCGTTTTCACATCAGCTAATTTGCCCGATAACTGATATGCCAGTTTTCCCAACAGCTCATTTGCCCAACTAGTACACTAAATACCACCAACAATTCGATGAAATGAACAAAATTTAACCTTCCGTTAGTCGCGCACTTGTTTCCGACATGGTTAATCGCGTTGCACCTATGAGGTGTTTCTGATTTTTTGAAAGCCAAATGAAATTTAGTCTAGTTTAAATAGTTAATTGTTACCAATTTAAGACTCTTTAGAGAGATAAATATCAAAAAACTTATTTAGCGAAGTACCGAAGATAAATTTTTCTTGCTCCCGCGTCGGATCTCTTCCTCCATCACAAGATGTTCAACCAATTGACGCAAGAAGGTTGTGCTGTTTTTTACTCCGTAACCATTTTCTGTGAATGTAACTTGACCATTTATACCTGCTACGTTGAGAAGGACAGAAAATGAGATAAAATATATATATTNTGATCCAACATGTTTATTTGAACGTTCTGGAGAATTTGGAGCTGCCTTTTAGTCACCCTCTTCATGCAGAGTGTGTTGTCGATACCACTATTTTTCAAGATGACAACAGCAAAGTTCATGGGGCTGGAAGTATATGTGATTGGTTTTATGAACACTCAGACACTCAATTACATCTCGGCTGGCTGCAAAATCACCTGACTTGTACCCCATTGAAAATTTGTGGGACATGTTGGAACAACGGGTAAAGCGCCAAAATCAGCAATCTCACAATTTGGTGAATTTGATCCATCAAATCCTCAACGGGGGCTTAAACTGGATTCGACGTACTTGCAAACCCTTGTGAGCTCATTTCCTAACCGAATCCAGGCGGTTATCAAATCCAGAGGAGGTGTTATACGTTATTAAATGATCTTTTTCATGATTTCTCTAAGGGTGAAAATTTTTTTGTCCGGTGTGCTTATATAAAACTGAAAACTACAATGATCATTGTTCTAAAAGAAAGCGCCGTTCTAAAAGTTTTTCACGAAAGCAAATTTCTCCCAGTCCTAGGTCCAGGAGTTCCCTTGTCTTCTGGATTGGGTGCAAAATTATAATGCTAAGGAGTTGAGCATTAGCAGTCGTAAACCCAAAAATTGGGTCGACTGTTCAACGACGGTTATAGAATATAACATAAAGTATTAAAAAAAGAACAAAAGGAACATTTTGTGTCAGATAGAAACAAAATTGATAAAGCAGGTAGGGAGGTTGTTACTAGAAACTCTGTGACCTTCAACCTCTTTGCTCCCCCATTGTGAGTAGACCTTGGAGGATGGTCAGAGGGAGCAAAAACGATGTGAAAAGTTTGAACGATGAAATAAAATTTGATCAGAAATCAATCATTCATTTATAATTTTTTTCTTCTAAAAAGCTAAGTTTCGAAGTAAAATTAATGTAAATTTATTTTTCCTTTTTTAATTTCAGATTCAAAGCAAAATTAATATAACTTTCTTCTTCTTTTTTTAATTTATTCTAACAGAAAGTAATCACGTTAGCGCGTCTTTTGAGAGGGCAACCGGGATAGGATGGGTGGGTCAGTCTATTCCTGGTCATGGCAATTTTTTGATACAAATAAATGCTTTAGAATATATTATCGGAATATCCAGTCATTTTCCTGATAACTCAAAAGCCCGTTTTCACATCAGCTAATTTGCCAGATAACTGATATGCCAGTTTTCCGAACAGCTCATTTGCCCAACTAGTACACAAAATACCACCAACAATTCGATGAAATGAACAAAATTTAAAAAAAAAATTATAACTAAAACTCATCACATTTTTCAAAATTCTATACCTGAAACAATCAGGAACGAAGAATTCTTGTATTCGCGATTTTAATTTTGACCCAAATATGTGTAAATTAATGCCATGCATGTTCTGAAATTGATTGGATGCCTCAGTGTTTTGGAGCAGCAATTATTGTCTTATGGTAATTTAGAGCAGTAATTGTCATACGAGATTGAGTTATACATAACTTCCGCATTAAGAGAGTGTGCTAAAAGAAATCCAACAGTGAAAATTGAAGAAATAACATAAATTATGTCTCAAAATTCAGAAAGGTTTAGTCCTTCTCAGAAAAACGCGCAAAAAAAGTGAACACCTTGAATACTTTTGATATAACTATCGGATTGTCACATACTCGATCTTAATAGTTCGTCTAAATTAGGTTAATTGATTAATGAAAATGATAAGTTAAGTTACGAAAGCAGACTCAAATAATTTCTAAGTATACCTTTTTTCAGCAAATTCATATTCTGAATATGGTTCAGATCTGGAAATTAAGGCTCAAATTGTTTAGGTAAGAGAGTTTAGTGTTAATTTCCCTTTCTTAATATTTAGACACATTTATGAAATTCGTGTATCCACAGGACGAGAATCTATGCACAAAATAATTTTAAATAAATATTTATTTTATTTAACGAAAGTTGATAAAGCTTGAATTACAAGAGATCATTGTTAAATCATCAAATTGTTAAATCATCTTAAATAAGGCAATTTTAATGGACAAAATATTAAATTTGAACAAAATGAATCAGTTTCCGAGCTATCCTATTTTAAAAAGTTGTATTGTTAAAAATTTGATTGCTCGAGAGCCATTCGTCCGATTTTGTTAACTCTTTGACAACGCTGCACAATACTTCACTACATAAGCTTCAAAACCTTCCCTTACAAAAAATAAGGGTCCCGCAGTGGACTGATCGTTAAGACACGGTTCCCAGCAGATCACCGAAGTCAAGCATCACTGGTTTTGTTGGCATTTAGGGCAAAGAGGAAAGATCTTTTGATTTGAAAAATCAGTTGCACAATACTTCACTACCTAAGCTTCAAAACCTTCCCTTACAAAAAATAAGTTCGCGCGCAGGTCGTCGGGCTACCGAAGCGGGGGTGCCATCCCCTCCGCAGAGGATCAAAATTGTGATGTCATGTCTTCGGATCATCCTCCGGGATGTTTCCCAGACCGTCGCCAATAGCCCATTGTGCAGCTCTAGTGCGACGTAAATTAACAACAACAACAACAACAACAAAAAATAAGGTGTTTTTGAGGTTGAGAGGTGTTAAAAATATGCACTTGAGATAGAAAAGGATGTTATGTTTTGCACCAAAAATAGCAAGCAATACTTTAAATTGAAATTCGGTGAAACTATTCACACCTCAAATATGCTTATTTGCTTGAAGAGTAGAAAATAATTTGTAAACCTTAAAAAAGACCTGTTTTAGCTTGTTGCTCTGGGGTAGATTCATACCACTCTTAAGTGTGAATAAAACAACTTCATACATCTTGATTATAAACCTTAGGAAGTTGATTTTTTAAGGTTGTTAATG